AGTTTTATTTCTCATTTAAGTACATTTTATGCCTATTCCACTCTGTTTCCATGACTAAGACTGAAGTAAACATGAAGAGATTTTAGTCATAAACTCTGAACTTACAGATAATTCAGACCATCATAACTCACTCCCACTATAAAGGAAACATTCTCAAGCAGCATCATCTTGAATGCAGGTGTTTTATGAGTGGAGGCCTTAACAGAACTGCTGGAGGAGAGGACATGACTTGCTCATACATAATGTGGAAATGTGAAACCACACTCCTGACTGCTGCAGCAGCATCCGGGCAAACTAAAGTCATCTGCCAATGGATAGCGAGAACAGATCTCTGCATATGGAACTGACTTGTAAGTTGGCTAATTATGCAACTGCAATCAGTTTTTCTTCATAATTCCTGAGGTAGTTGCATAGTACGGCTTCAATTAATGTAATGACCTGGCTCTGAAAGAGGGAGGTTTCCCTGAGCCCTTGGCTTTCAGCCATACTCCTCCTACCTTCTTTTGTTCCAGCTCTGAGGTTCATCTGACCTCCTGCTGAGCTCATTTTCAAGTTCCAAACCTGAGAAAGAGCCATGTACACCTTTTGTATTCTAGAACTGAGAAAGAAAAAGAACAGAACTGAGAAGCAGCACTTCCTCCATTCTGCAGTTGTTAGATGAGATGAGGTCATGTGACAGATCTGGGCCAAACAGGGATTTCAGGTAAGAAATTAATCATGAACCTGATTGGCACAATCAGAAAAAGGAGCTTGATTCCAGTGTTCGAGGGAAGGGGACGTCACACCCTTCAACTTGGCTGAGTCAATCTTTCTGTTCAAAGATGCTTGTTTATTTCCCTGACCTTCAAAAAGGCACGCACACTAATACCCTCAAAAGCATACAGAGCAATAAGCAAGAATAGAACAGGAAGCTGCGGAGATACCATAAAACACATAGTTTTTATAGTCCAAACACCCAGTGTGGGCTTGATAAGCTCTTAAACAACAAAAAACAGTGACTATCTTCGGTGTCATATATCTTTTCCATTCATTTCACAGTTCATAAAGAAACCCCAGTGAGCATAAGATATGTTTACTCTTGACAACACTGCAGAAGCATGTCAAGCTCGTGGCCGTCTTTTCTCTGTGCATTAGGAAATCCCCCTGCTTGTTTTTCCCTTTAAAAGTCTTAATGCTAAAAAGTCATTGAATCTTTGATTCTAACCAAGAAGACTGAAGTCTGTGCTTGGTGTTCATCACTGGGTTAATTACAGTGCCTTCAGCGATTAGAGCTACAAATAGCTGAGCTTGAAACGTTTCCCACGCAGGAGAGAGGAGCAGGATTACCACAGCGAGGCAATGCTGTGATGCATCAGCATTACACAGAGATGCAAAAAGGTGAGCATCTTCGTAGGTGACAGAGCTGCGGGTCCCAAAGCAGCGCTCATACAGTTTAATACGCATAAGGCTCAGATTGAAACTTTCCAACCTACAGCAGCTCCGGCACAAGGAACCCCTTTGCTTCCTCTTAGCAAAACCTCCTTTCAGCAAACTGAAAGCGCCAAGCAGAGAAATAAGGCTGTGACTTTGCAAATACACTTAGAATCTGAACAGCCACTGAACAGCTATTGAACAGGGTCAGAAGGGCAAGGAGAGCTGAAGGGAAGCCAACAGCATCAACAGCAAGATATAACAGAATCACAGAATGGCCAGGGTTGGAGAGGACCTCGAGGATGATGAATCTCCAACCCCCCTGCCACATGCAGGGCCACCAACCTCCACATTTAATACCAGACCAGGCTGCCCAGGCCCCATCCAACCTGGCCTTGAACACCTCTAGAGATGGGGCATCCACAACCTCTCTGGGCAGCCTGCTCCAGCACCAACGCTGGAACAGAAAGCACGTCCCATAAAGCCAACGGCGCTTACCCAGCTCCCACTGTCCACACTCGGAAGGGGAAGCTGGGAGAGCCGAGGCCAGCACAATACTCCCAGCCCAGGCTCCCGAGGCGCAGCCCGCGGGCCTCCAGAGCCGGCCCGACGGCTTCCCGACGGCCCCGCCCGCAGCCGGCCCTGCCCCACCGCGCCCCCGAGCCCCGACACGGGAGGAGAGGCGCGGCCGCCCGGCCCTACCTAAGGAGGGTCTCGAGCGCGCTCTCGTGCTTATCGAGCGGGCGGCCCAAGGCGCTCTTGCGCAGCTTGCTGAGCTCCTCGGCGGCGCGGCAGTGCTCGGCCTGGGCGTCGCCGCTCGGGTAGCTCTGCTGAATGAACTTGCAGAGCGGCTTGGCCAGATCCACCTCCGAGGCCTTCTTCAGCTGCACCGAGATGAAGTTCGTCATGGCCAGCGCGGGACGGCGGGCGGCGCTCAGCCCAGCTCAGCTCAGCTCACGCCGCTTCGCGCCTCAGCCGAACCCCGCACCCGGCCCGCCGGCCCGCTCCTTCACCGCCGCGCACTTCCGGGATCGTCGCGCGCTCCCGACGCAGCGACGTCACGCACGCACGCACGCACGCACGCCGCCCGCCCGCTTTCCCCGCCTCACGCACCGCCCGCACGGTCGCCGTTGCTCCTCAGCGCTCAACCTGGGCGGCTGTGCCACTGCGTCACCGCTGTGAGAAGGGATTTTTCCCAGTATCCAACCTAAAAATAAGTTGGAACGTTAGTTCTTCGTGGCAGACGCTGGGATTGAAGGGCCGTGGGGATGGTGAAGGGCCTGGAGCACCTCTCCCGTGAGGAGCAGCTGAAAGAGCTGTGCCTGCTCAGCCTGGGTTACTCGGGCTCAGGGGTCTCTGAAGAGAGGCCGTGCAGAGGATGGAGCCGGGCTCTGCCCAGCACCAGGACCAGCGGCCGTGGGCACAAAGCAGAGCACAGAGCTCCTTCTGAGTGCCAGGTAGCTCTCTGTGCTTGTGGGTGATGGGGCACTGACTGGCACAGCCTGCCCAGAGGCTGGAGAGTCTCCTTGGAGACACACAGAATCACAGAATGGCCAGAGTTGGAAGGGACCTCAAGGATCATGAATCTCCAACCCCCCCGCCACAGGCAGGGCCACCAACCTCCACATTTAATACCAGACCAGGCTGCCCAGGACCTCATCCAACCTGGCCTTGAACACCTCCAGGGACAGGGCATCCACAGCCTCTCTGGGCAGCTGTTCCAGCACCTCGCCACTCTCTCTGTTATGAACTTCCCCCTGACATCCAACCTAAATCTTCCCTCCCTCAACTTAAAACCATTTTTTGGTTTTGGAGACCTCCAAAAGCACCTGGGCACCATGCTTGAGGTGTCCCTGCTGGAGCAGGGGCTGTGCCAGATGGACGTGGAGGCCCTGCCTGCCTCAGACCCACTGTGATTCTGTGAAATCTCTGCTGGCACCAGAAAGCAGTTTCACGGTTTCTGTGGGCACAGATATGTCAAGCATGCAGCTCGCTTTCTGCAGACTCAGACAGCATGGCTCAGGCAGCCTGTGAGGTTTGAACTGCTGCACAGTCCCCGTGCAGCTGTGGGGCAGTGGGGAAGGAGAAGCAATGCGTTTTGCTGCTGCTGCATGTTGGGGCAGTGTGGTGAGGTGGCTGCTTACAGCCCTGCCACCTTCCTTCTGTTGCACACTTACACTCACAAAAATTCCTCTCTGTATATAATGTATGTGGTATACATATATACGCATGTCTGTGTGTTGGTGCTCCCCACACACAGTAAATACCCATCCTGGTTTCAGCTGCAATGCAGTTAACTTTCTTCCTCCTTCAGTTTCTTGTAGCTCAATCCAAAATATACTGTAGTCAACAGAATTTTAAATTTAAAATAGAGGGAATTTTATCATATAATGACTATAGTGAGTAAGCTGTCCCACCTTACTCCTATCTTGGTATGTGACTTCCTCACTGCTTTCTCTCCCCAGATTTTATTGCCCACGCCCACTTGTGAGCATGCCGTCTCCCTCGGACAGAGGCAGCCAGGCAGCCTTATACCGACTGCATTTTCCAGTCCCAGGGAAAACCTCCACTCCACCCTCACAAGCTCAGATCCTGATCAGTCTCAAGATAGAGCCTGCCAAGGGGTTGCCTCCCTTTGTTTCCAGCATTAAGACTTTGTGAGGTATAGTGAGCCCACACGGCATTACACGATGCGTGGCTGCCTATATAAGGGTGGGGAGGCCATAATACCTCCCTGCGCAACAACCATAAACACGGAAAGGGTGTGAACAGGGAAGGGCAAAGACTGCAGCCATGAGATCATGCTTTTACTTTGGAACCCCAGTGACCTTTAGATGATGTTGCTTAACACATGGAACCACCAATATTTTGCATTCCTAAACCACCCACCAACACAGCTTAGAAATGTCACTTTGTTTCAGAGTAAATTGCCGGAACTTCAAACATACAGGTGGTTTGCTTTTTTCCCATGGATTTTTTAGTCAGTATTTCTCTGATAACTTTGCTTTGGTTATTACAATTATCATAAACAGTACTGACTTGTCTCTTTGTTACCTTGTGACCAGTTAAGTATTATAATTTCCCAATTTAGAGATGAAGAAGCCTCATAGTCAGTAGTTAGCAGCACAGGGAGCATAATCTGCATCTTCTGACTCAGAGTCCTGTGCTTTAAACAGCAGACCATACTTCCTTCTTCAACAAATTCATGATAGCATCTAAAGGAACTACTTAAAAACAGCTTTCCCCTGAAATGTTTAAAGTAATGCAGCATAAACAAGTTAGCTGTATGTAAGCACAACCAAGGTCACCGATACATTTAATTTTGGTGTAGACAGATGATAAGATGTCCCCAGTTTTCCTCTCTTTTCTAAACAACTATTATGTATATATAGAAAATGGCAGTTTTGCAACAGTGTTTACAGTGTTTCTAAAAGGCAGATTTGGTTTCAGTATGCTATTGGTGTTTCTGCATGCTTCATACGTTTTGTCTAGGAGTTTTGGACGTAAAAGTTTTCACTGAAAACTAATATTCTATTCTATATTTGCTTTCTGTTTAAATAATTTGCATACAGATCTTTCACTAAGGCATGATTTTATTCTGTAGACTTTTATCGTGACCATTTATCCATCGTGTAAAGGTTGCCTTGTAGCAAAAGCACTAACTGGCAGACAGGTGCTCTACGAAAATGAAAAATAAGCAAAAAGAAGTGATAAGGCACCTCATTGTTCAATTCATTAAATCTGATGGTCGTCCAGCATAACACCTCATTTAATCATTCATATTCAATGCCATTTTGGCACTCCTGACATAAACTTCTGGGGACAGAAAGTAATTCCAAACCTTTTATCACCACTACCTTTTGAAATGAGTTTCAGGAGTCACGGCCTCAGTTGCCAAAACTGGGGAATGCAAAAAACAAATTGTAAGTCAGAAAGGGCTCTGACTGGACCAAATAACCCGTCTAGTCCTACTACCAGTTTAAAAGAAAATATAAAATTATCCTAGTTATTCTGATATTAAAGTCATGAAACATTTGCAAGACATGGTGATGTACTGGTAAGAGACTGCTATTTTCTTTTGTTAATATTGCTTGGGAAACTGGTTCCTCCCCACCCCACCCCCCCATCTGGAGGACCAGAGGGACACCAAGGAGGCCAGAACAGAGCTATTCAGCACCACACAGTAAGGGGGAAGCAAGTCCAGGTGAGTAGTGATCCCCTTTAAATACCATTTTCTTTGTGTCTGGACTCAAGTTTAAACACCCATGGCTCTGTGAAGGACCAGAGCAAGTGCTGGTCAGTGACATCTGCTCTGGCTACTCCAACCAGCCGGCCCTGGGTGCCACACAGCCATGTCACTGTGATGACACATTGGTGTCATGGTGATGTTTGAGCCCAACAAACTGCCCAACAAAACACCCCAGCAGTTCTGTTGGATTTAGCTTACTGACTGGCAGGGCTTATCACAGAAATGCCTCCATGTGAGAACTTCAGTCAGAGAGAGACAAGAAAAATTAAAATTTAGCCACCTGAATCAGAAATGTCTTCTGTTTCAATGCCAGAAAAGCTGGTTTAGTCCTCAGGCTTCCCTTCTCCTCATCCTTCCCAAAAGGATGAAGACGAACAATCGGGGATGCTGCTGCAGCATGGGTAAAGGAAGAAAAGGATTCACTAATTTTTCAGATGAAGAACAAACGGCATGTTTCCCTCACATTTCTTCTGAGGAGAGCAAAGCCAGCGTCTCCTCGGCCCTCAGCCTTCCACAGAAATTCTGCAACCGGTTAAAAGTGACCAATTTAAGTTGTGTTGGTGGGGTCATGGTGGAAACTGTTGTCATCAATGAAGAAATATTTAAGCCGGGAAGGAAAGGACCTGTGAGAGTTTTTCAGACTGAAAACATGAAAAGCCTCATTCACCAACTTAATTGTATGGATTCACCAAAACACACCATGACAGCAAAAGATCTCCTTCAGTTGCTGAATTTCTTGCAAAGGAAGAAACAATTCCTGCTCACAGGAAAGTACGTGTGTTACTCCACACATAAACCAACCCTCACAAGATTCTGGTGGGAGGGTTGGAGGTTCCAAGAAAATAAGCCTTGGTAATAGAGGAGAGGATGATGACAGTAAATGTTCTGATCTCCATTTCTTTCTCTGGCTGTTTCTGGGTATTTTAGAGGTAGCACTGGTGAGTGGTAGAAATATGGATAAAATAGATTTGGGTTATATCCCAGTTTGAACCCATGGAATAGAAAGATAACTAAATCAGGATGTGATGTCTGTTTATTTCAGTATGTTTGCAACATAACTTGTTTTAATCAGCCTAAGCTATAGGATTAATCTGACCAATAGACATTTTAAATTTAATTTCATTGAGCAATTGAAAGTCTTACTTCCTGTATTTTGCTGTCTTCCAGTCCCAATTGAACAGCAACTAACTTGTCTCTGCATTTTTCACTCACTCTTCTACGCTCACCCATGCTTCATGAGAGATGATCCACAACTGCCTGAACACTGCCAGCAAGGAGTTGCCCTGAGGAGAGGAGAGGTGGCTGCCCCTGCCTTGCAGGACCTGAACGAGAGCCACCTGAGGAGCAGACCAGGTGCCCAGCCACACAGGGAGCAGCTGCTGGGTGAGACAGGAGTCTGATGGAGCACCAAAGGAAGAAGGCACAGAGACAGACCTAAGGCCCCACCACTCAAGCACCCTAAGAAAGCCACCATCCAAACCAGTGCTGCTCCAGCCCTGCCAGCCCTGTTGCAGCAGCACAGAGGGAAACGTGCCAGCCTCTGGTCCCCTCCCTGCTGCCACTGAGCAGACAGATAATTCTGGCAATATGTTTGAGTAATACACCTTCTCCACTCTCAGGTCCTTTCATTTATTTATCTATTTATCTCTCTAATGGTTCTGGAAATAAAATGTTTAAAGAATAAACCTTTTCAGTTGTCATGTTCTTTTAGTCGTTCTTTCATTTATTTAATGGTGAAATCCCCAATTAAATCTATATTTTGTCTATCAAAAGGAAGCAGCAAAAGCAATGATTCTAGCATCAATTTAATGGTTTTCTGTAGGATTCAAGCTTTAGATTCTAAGCTTAGGAATAACACAAACTCCAAAGCATTGTTTAATTCTGCTTGTAAATGCTTTTTTTTTTTTTTTTTATCATAGCAATTCCCAGTAGAAGATTTGTAAATCTTTTTTTGGTAGAATTCACATCACAAATTAAAAGGCAAGAAAGCTTTAAGAAGCACACTGCTACACAAACTTCTCTTATCACTCTTAATTCTCTAACTGCACACAGAAACAGGATCCTACTGTTAAAGTAAGATGATTTGGATATATTTTCCTGAAAGAAACACAACCCAAACAACAACAGCAAAAACCACTAAGCTGTATCGATACTTTAATAACTTCACTTCTTCTCCACCAGAGACTGAAGCTGAAGATGCAGATCATCCCCAATTAAAACAATACAAAACAAAACACCACCCCTGTTACCCCACTGATTTTATAAAATAATGCTGAGCTGTAAATGAGGAACTGATAGCAGCTTCAGCCATGATGACATATGGAAAATGTTAGAAAGACCAAAGGTGAACTCAATGAAAATATGAAGAAAAAAAAACCACCCAAAAATGAGAACTAGGAAGCTTCCAGTTACATGCACAAAGAAAGAAATCTGTGCACAAGTAGATTAATAGAGGTGAGGTCACTCCAATGCAGTGTTGAGTAGGAGAATCACTTCCCTCAATTGGCCAGCAATGCTGTGGCTGAAGCAGCCCATGATATGGTTGGTCCTCCTGGCCACCTGAGCACACTGTTGACTTGTGTACAACTTTGGTTCAACAAGACCCCCACACAGCCAGGGTTGCTCTTTTCCAGTTGCAGAATTCAGTACTTGATCTTGTTAAACTTCACATAATATAGTATAGGGTTTTCATAATAGACACCATTTTTATGGGTAAATCATTTTTATATGTCATCAAAAAGGTGGTAAAATTCTCTTCCGTGCAAAAGTATTTTCAAGAGTTTTAACACATTGTTTTTAATGTTCATGGAATTCATATCTCTGTGGTTTTAGAAGATTTACAAAGCAGAACAGCTTGTAAAAGAAAGCAGCAATGCTCAGTAATAAATAATTGAGAAGACATTAAAACATCTCTTCCAAAAGCTGAAGGTCAGGATTAGGGCAAAGTGCATCAATACAAACATTTAAAATTCTCCTTACAATGTATTGAATAAAACTGCTTTCAATTTCCTTATACTCCCATAGACTTCTATATTGCATACTAAGGTGCAGTCACGTTCTGCCTCTGGATATATACTTTCTGCTTAAAATGATGCAATGGTTCTATAGGAAATTTTGCTGATGGAATGCAAAACATAAATGTGCACTGCTATAGATACACTGGCACAAGTCAGTGCATCTGTGTTTGAGCATACATGCTTACCTCCTGCTTCCCGGCTATTGCTTGGGGAGCAGCTATGCATAAGAAGAGGTGAACATAATGAGGAATATAATCACCATTTGATCCCAGACACACACACAGCCCTTTACTGAATCCAATCCTGCATATATAATCTTCTGAACAACCCATGTGTGAATATTTGACTCTGATTTTGGCATGAAAACTTTGCAGCCAACACATTTCAGTGCAAACTTTATGATGTGTGTTTTGAAAAATGTTCAGAGCTTTTCTCTGAAAGTTTGTTGAAAGAAAGAAAAAGACTTGTTCTGCCTTTGTTCAGTGTTGAACTGCTGCTTAACACATCATTAGTTCTGCTTTGCATATATAAATTATGTATTTTAAAATAATTTTTACCCCTAGGAATGGAAAACAAAGTACCTGTCATACTGCACAGAAAGTAGATGAAAAATCAAACATCTGCTTTTTGAACAAAATTTTGTCTTACACAGCACTTATTCTTGCTATGAACATTTCCTTGAACTGTCATAGGATTTCTGAAGCCCCCAGCAGGAGATGGATAGCATTCTAATGTTATCACATCTTTAATTAGATTAGAAGTTAGAAGAATAAAGTATTAATAACCTTGAAAGATAAGTTTTTCTAATATATTCTTCCCCTAACTATACGATAGTTTTACTGTTTCCAATTTAAAGTAAGAAACAACCAAAACTTAAGTGTGTGTTTCTTTATTCATGACAGGAAAGAGAAGAGTTTTTAATTTTGCAAATTGCTCTCACAAGCTTGGCTAATTAAGCTGACCCTTCAAATCTGAAAGCCAGAGTGCTTTCACTTCACTTCTTATTAACAAATAGTGCAAAGATGTCAATGATGGGAAGTAACAAAATGGAAGAAAGATAGTTGGGTAACATCGAATCTCTTGGGTAACATCGAATCTCTTAATTATTGCTATACAGGGTTTATATAAAGCAGCAACTTTGTTTTATTCACTGTAAGATATTGCTTTCTTTATTTAAAGCATTGAATTTCACATTTTATAAAGATTTTGCTCTGAATATGCCATCAATCCCATTAAAAATTTTTTTGCATCAAAGGACAGAGTAGCCTTCAAAGAAGTAGAAATTCATATTTTCCTTTGTTGGTGTTTTACGCTCTGTAATTAAATTGTATCTTGTTTTTGCCTGTATATTTAATGCAAGAAAATGTCCTTTTCCTGTGTATTACAGTACAACTACAAAGTTTGACTAGAAAGCTCCATGTGTAATTGGAAGACTGGGAGTTTTAGTGGATGTGAAGGTATGAAAGAAATTAAATCTCCTTAATTGAGGAAGATTCTTTACAAGTCATCTTTGACTTAGCATTTATTTTAATAGTATTTTCTATTTGGGGTATTTGTTATCCTGAAACACGATATATTCAAATAGAAATCATTTAACAGAGCTTGAAATAGGTCTGAAATGGATGTAGTCATTAGACAGCATAACGTGTGTTAGTATAGAGAGGTCACATCTTGCTACATGGAAAAAGCAGGATGGTGAATAAGATCCCAACAGAAATACCTTCACTTGGCCAAGTTCACTCAAAAACACTACTGAAATTCAGCTTTGTGGTTCTAAGGTCTCTTTATGGCAACTGGGAGGTTTGCACTGCCGTGCAATCCTTTCTACTGACAAGGAATTATTATATTTTTGGCATTTCCAGTAGAGAAGAGCCTGTAGAAACTCATAGCCCAAATACCTGCAGCTCTATCACTGCACAAAGCAGCCTTGTGTATTGAGCCTATGTGGTATGTCCAAAAGTGGACTTACTGGAGCATGCTCCTATGGATCTATCCTCTGGATCCCCACCCGGGCACACTGCCCTTGGCACTGCGTGGATGAATTCTGTTAAGCAGAAAGAAGCTCAGAGAGGGAAGTGTCTGCCATGATGGGCTAGACAGAGCAGGCTCACTGCTGGAGCAGTATTCAAATGTGCCAGCAGGGACTGAGGCCTAATTTTACATCTGAGGGGATGGTAAAAATGCAAGGATGAGAGAAAGAATCTGTTTTTAGAGCTGTAAAAATCAATATTTCTCCTTTTAATGTGGGAATTGAAGGAACTGCTCCCAGGAAGGCACCATGGAAAGAACAACTGCAGGCCTTATTTGGTGAAAACAACTCCAAAACAGCTTGAGACTTTGCAAACAGGAAGGGCTAAACCAAATACAGAAGCCCCTGAGAACGTGGTTGTTCCATGGTCCATGCAGGAAGGTGGTTGTGCCTTTTCTCAATTCAAGATGTCTTAGCACCCACACTGGCAGCGTTACAAGGAGCCACCACTAGTAACAACACAGGAAATGCACTTCTGAAAGCAGCAAAGATTCTCATATCTCACTGTTAAACTTGCCCATAATGCCAGGCTTTTATCTTACACATTCCAAATGTTATGAATCAGAACAAAGTTCCTCTGTTATATAATGTTACAAAAGCCAGTACAGACACTTTATTTGCAGAGTTCTTTCTGGCCACAAAAAAATCCAGGGCTAAAGAAATGGCAACAGGATTTGCCAACAGTGCTGCAAGAGGATTCCTTCTAAAAATGCTTGCTTTGCAATTTTCAAAGGAGAAATGATACACAAATTGAGACTTGTGCAGACTTCAAAATGCAAGATGCAAAATCTGTGGTTTGATCTATTTCATCATTCTACTACTGGCCGTATGTGGACATTTGTGGTACAAGCAGGCAATGAGATGCAGCATCAGCAGTGCACTCCAATGGCACAGAAGGAGGAAAGGGAGGATGGTTTGATCAAGGGCATTGTTGCAGTACATGTATATTTGTGTTTTTTTTCCTCACAAAAGGAGGTAAGTGTGACTGATGTGGCTTTTAATCATGGTAGGACAGCCATAGGACATCACAGAGTCTGACTCAGACATTAAAGGGGATTGTGTGAGACACACTGGGAAAGCTGGCTTGCATTAGGAGAGTGCACTTCAGGCAACAACACCTTTGCAGAAGTTACATAAATTAGGGCAGATTCCAGTTCACTGCTCAGAATATATGATTCATCCTGGCGTGAAGTATCTGGATGTGGCCTGACTAATGCTAGCACCTAAAATGTTACTGTAAGGATCATGCTCTGCAAAGCTCAGAAGATTACCCCTGGCAACTACCTCTCCAATTCCAAGGTTGGTCTGTCTGGCATTCCCTCTGCAGGCAATGGAAGTTCCTACTGACATGTAGGCAGACTGAAATTTGTGTAACTGTGGAATCAGACAGACATTCAGCTGATTTGCATATGCAACATTTCTTTTATTTGCACTGAGTGGAATAAACTGTAGCCTGGCATTCCTTCCAAACTGGTCAGCCTCACAACTTGACACTGTTTCTTCGACTTCCAGACAGAGAGATGCTGACATGCACAAATAAGGTATTTGGGAAACACAGGATAGTATACTTCTGCTTCAAATATCTTGTTTAAATGACATTTAATTACTTTTCATTCCTCACACAGGCATGACAGGTTTATCAGCATTCACTACCTACGAGCTACTGAGCTAGGAACTTGACAGTGACCAGGGATGACTGACATAAAATTGTCCTTGGAGTCAAATGAAGTCAAAGTAAAAAGTATAGACCAACTGCTTATTTACTGGCAGAATCCTTTGCCTTTCTGTAACTCCAGTAACTTTGGACATGCATATTTC